ACATAAGTGATGGTTCTTTGAGAGTCAATATAATTAAGTGATTGGTGCTTTATAAGTACAGAAAGCAGGATATACTGTACTAAAAGTTATATATGAGTTGTTGCTTGCTTTCAGAAAATGGTGGAAGGGAAAGAACTGCTAATGATGTCTGATGGAGCAAGCCTGATAATGTGATCTTGGCACTTACTTTATGAATTTGATTCTTTTTTTTTTAGTAGTGCATAAAAATCAGATGGGGACATTGTTGTATTTGGTGATGCAGATTTATGGTCCCAAAGAGTTTACCTTCTAATTAAATATTAAGTTACTGTGAGTTAATTTAACAAACTATGAGAAAGAAGATGAGAGAACAGAATAAGGATGTGAGTAATGAGCTGAAGTAGTCATACGGTCTACCTACATAAACAACGTGGTGATTGGAATTCTTTGGAAGTTTTTCATCTTCATACTCTCTCAGCAGGTTTTCTTTGTTGTGCTGCTAACAATCCCTTGCTACAGTGCTGCTATATTATTTTCCTTTGAATATAGCAATGGGATAGCTATTGTCTCAATTATTTTCCTGAGAGAAACTATGTGGGGTTCCTTACGCAAGTCACATTTCAACTGAGCGCTCACCAAGACAGGACGTTGCCATTTCTGGTCCTTATAATAGCTGCCTGAAACCAGGGAGAGTGGAAATAGGGTGGAAGAGGGGAGGAAAGAAGGGTATGTGACTCTCTTGCTGTAAACCTCAATACAGAATGCTGCATGTTACAGATAAATTAAAACATTTTAGACATTACTACTGTGCTATTTTTGAACTGTGATGTACTCTGACATCTTGATGGTAAAGCTCATGTTTTGAGTCAAGTTCTTAAATCTCTGATTTCGGAGTTGTTTTTTTTAATCTACTAACTATGTTTTTCTTCTCTATCATAGTAACATCTCTCAAATTCCATGCTAAAAGTAGCACTATAGTGTTGCATATTATCTTTCAATGACTACCCATTAAATATGATCAAAGCAAAGTGAGTGTTCTTATTGACCATGCAAACAGGGTCATTCTTTATTCTTTCTGTCTCATGCATTGATTGTGCTATCAGGACTTATGCTGGTGGTTATTAGAAACTGGATATATACCAACCACTATAGTCAGATTTACCATGATATTTAAGATAGTTGCCTTGGTTAGTGTGGGAAGTTCCACGTATACCACATATATAATAAATGTAGTGGTATGCAAATGTCGATTTTAATGATAGCCACTATAGTTAGCAATTCTCTTGCTGACATATGAGTTAGAAAATAATTTAGTTTGTTTGTATTGCCTCTGAGGTCAAAGAGATGAAAAGGCAGGTTGATCCCTTCTCTCCCTGCCCTGCCCCTCCCTCCCTCCCCCTGGCCTTTTTCTTTGGGGAAAGTAAGTAATGGTTTTAAAACACATACATGGAGTTTTATTTTAATTTTCTTCTTTTGTTCTGTTTTTGACTGGAAAAATGCAGAATAATTCTTCTGGCTACCTGCTACCTTAATAGGATGATTTGAGGGAACCCTTACCCCCAAGAAAGTCTCTTTTTTCTTTGCCCTTCTGAGTCCAGAAATGAGTACAAGACCAAATCCTGAATTTAGGTTTTTCTTAGCAAACCTCTATAATTTTTAAGTTTAGTTTTGCTTTGGTAAGAAATAAGTGATTTAAGAGAGTAGTTATTGGAAAATTTCAATAAGAAGCATTTGATATTATTTTAAAGTAACACAGGGGACTGGAATTGTGGAACACACAGGAATATAACCTGGTCAAGCAAATGTTTAAGAAAAAAAATTTCAGTTTTTCTGTGAGTTAAAAAGAAAATAATTGTCTGCTTATTGGGTTCATTTTTTAAATTGAGATCAATGAAATTCTTCCAGCAACAGCATGAAATCAATTGTAAAATAGCATATAATTCATGCCCTATATTGTAAATTATACTTTGTTTGACATTAATCACTGAGTTTTCCATGCACTGGGGTACATTTTCTTGTAACGCATTTCTGGATAATGCTTGTGGATCCATTTCTAATGTGTTTGAGAGCGATCTGTTTTTCATGTCCACAATTGCCTACATTTGATCTTATGCAAATCATGCAATCAAGCAAATGGAAAACAAGGCGTTGTTGCTAGAGGACCTTGACAAACAGTGGCTTTGTAGTTTTAAGAACCTCCTCCCTCCTCATTCAGATTCATGTTTGTATCTGTAGTTGTCTGAATCCATTGATCCATTATGAAACACTTTGAACTTTAAATAGGAAAATACCTGCCAAATCAGATTGTGACAAATAATTGAATCAATTATGATGTAATATGATTTTTATTGTTCAGTTTGTCAGTTTCTGGTTCTAACCTTTTAGAAATACTACGTACACTATATTTGCGGGCTCATCCAAACCTTGATGAAGTCTATGGAGAGTTTTTCATTGACTGCAAAGCTCATGCTTTGAGTGACATTCCTAAGTCTCTAATTTCTGTATTTTCTTCTCCTGCTCCCACTAACGTAATTTTTCTTTTTAGCCTTTATCCCACCAAAATCTTTCGGATTCCATTGAAACTTTCTATTCGGCATTTATAAGTCAAAATACATTGGCATTATTAAATCAAGATGAGGAACAAAGATTTACTTTGATCCTGGTGACATGTTGCTTTTTTCTACTTTCTTTTTTTTTTTTTAACCTCTCCTCTCCTTCCCTCCCCTCTCAGTATGCTTATCAGTTGATCCTAAAGGATCTTGCTGCTCATATGTCCTGTGTTTCCATTCCTTGTTATTCCTGTTTTTAAACTTTGCATGTTTCCCTGTCTTGTCTTTTTGCTTTTTCATTTCCAGGCACTGAGACACACATAGTAACTTATAGTCACTTGTTTTTTTCAGGGAGGGAAATAAAACATTTTTCCATCTTCCATGCTCTTCATCCTTGAAAAAGTTCCTCCCTCTTCAAATTTAGCTAGGTATTTCCAGAAACTCTTGTGCATGCAAGTAGTCTCATCAGCTACAGTGTGCATCAAATCAGGGTTTCAGTACAAGCTACCTTTTTAAAAAAAGCAGTTCCTTGATGAGGAATTTTCCTTAAAGGAGAGAAAAATACCCCTCCCCAACCCCCATCACAAATCTGTATACAAGGAAAAAAGTGATCCACCATAAACAAATGGAAAAGGAGAAATCCACTTTCTTTTTCTCTTCTCCCTTCCCTTGTGTTATATTCACACTGCTAAGTGAAGCCTCGCAATAGAGTTTCAACTTAGAAGAATGAGTGTTCACCACTTACAAGGATATGAATTAAATAGGTGCCATGGATTGCTTTCAGCTGTTCATTTCAGGATTGCTAAAAGTAAAATCCTTCCGGTCACTTGTTTGCCCACCCAGAACATGGAGTATCTGATACTTGTCTCACAGACTTCCATCTCCATCTATACTTTTTGTGGCTTCTCTGATGACAGCTGCAAGAACAAGGGATCCAGGAAGGTGTACACTAATGAGGGCAATACAATCGGTGCAGTATGTAGAGTTTACTTTCTCTGCCTGCTGAGCCAGCTTGAGCACCTGCTCTGGAGTGCGCTTTCCCCCTCTCACCCACATAAGCACTGCTTAACCCTGGTAGAATCAGCCCCATTATGTTGATTAAACATGTCACTGTGTTACAGGCATTCACTTGATGATTTTTTTTTTTAGTTATGGCATTTTTTTTTAACTCACACTTTGCCATGTGCTCCATAGAACAATACCACTGAGTGATACTGCATTTTCAATAAAAATGCATGAGCTCATTCTTTCCTCACACAGAGTGGAGTAAATCAGAAGGAATTCCATTGCGGCAGGGACTGGAGACATTATATGAGGAGAAAACTAATGAGAAAGAAGTTGGGTCTACAACATTTCTGCTTTAGTGATGTATTTGTCATCCAGTTGTAATTTATTTAATTTGTGCTCACAAGTATTTTCGTACAAAATGATAGCTTGATACTATTTGGCTCTGAAAACACTAGCATTTGTTATGTCTTGCAAAAACCCAGAACTTTTCTGCCATACCAAAAATGTGTATCTATAACATATGCATTTTACTTGTATACCTTATACTGTTGCCAAAACGTCAATTGTAAATTCCTTCTTAAACAATTTGCTCATTAAAATCTGTTATTTTTATTTTAATTAAAATGAAAAAGATTAGAAAAATGTCTGCATTACTTTCGTACTATAATTTTTCTGACAAACTTTCCTTTATGAGTATAGGGAAGAATATATGAAGCTAAAAATCTTTTAGAATATTTATTCAGCAAAGATGCTACATTTTATTCACCATTTTCTGCAAAAATTGAAACTCAAGATAGCTTCATAATAAATAACCATTTAATGGTTGTTTTGCTATAGGATTAGACAGGTTGTCTTTACTGAAATATATTTTACAAATGTTTGGTGTTCATGCAGCTGAAGACAAACAGGCAAAGAGAGAACAGACCAGTATAAGTGGTGGCAACAGTGAGCTTCCTTTGTGTTCATGCTTATAGTGAAACCTGCATGGAGTGAATCATTGTATGTATTGATGCTTGACATTCATGCATCATACAGCACATTTTTAAAAAAAATATAATCCGGCTGTGTTAATGAACCTGTACTTGTTTTTCCATTAATTTGATTTGATTTAGTCATCTTAAAGGTGTGTTCACTTGCCACTGTAGCAAATTGATATAGTATTTAGCACCTAAGAGGCTAACATCTTTGTTTTGTTTGGGCGGTGTACGTTCTAGTGTAAATGTACTGTACAATGGGGTCATCTCAGCAAAAGCCTGCTCCATAGATCTATTTGTAGTAAAAATTTGCAGTTATTTGCTATTAAACAGCTAGCACCTATTCACTCCTCTGGGACAAATCTGAAACATTTAAGAGATACAGGTCCCTCTTCTTCTTAATTTTCTGAATTCACTACTCTCTGAAAGTTACAGAAAAACAAAGTAAAATTAATATGCAAAGTAAATTCATATTCCTTTTTTGCCCTAGATTTAGCAGTTTTTACGCCACACCAGTTTCTGCTCACTGCATGCACGCTTGCTGGCTGTACAAACAGTTCCCAGGTCACCTTGTTTACAGCACAGCTGCCACCATCTCACGTAGATGCCCCGGTCCTGACGGTTTTGGATTCTAGAACGATATATGTACAGTAAGTAAGGATTTCTTCTTTCCTGACAACACAATAGTGCATCAGTTTATTCAAGAATTCCAGTGAGTTCAATCAGGGGAAGGGTTTGTGACATAAAATTAAATTTATTATGATTAAATGCATAGAAGTGATTAGTTTAGTGGTTCTGTGAACCTTCTGATTATCACTTGCCAACTTAATTTCCATTTTGTCTTTACGCAATCAGTATAACCTACATATGGGCATAGCCTCTGCAAACTTCAGTGCAGGAAATGTTCTGGTGATATGCCCGTTTTGTAGCCCCTGCTTTGTGTGTTACTGTAATCATTTATCTATTGAGTACAAATACTGCATTAGAGGTATGCCTTAGATTTATTTTTATGGTTGCAAAACTATGTTTTTAAATTCTTAAAATAAACCCCACAAAGTCCCCTAAACAAAGCCTTACATTTTTCAGTATGGTCTGAATCTTTGCTGGTCTTAATCATATTTTGCTTTTATTTGCAGATGGAAAGAACCAGTAGAAGTAAATGGAATCCTAGATCGCTATATAATTTATATTGCCAACAATGAGCAGAATTTTACAAAGTGGAATGTAATCTATAACAGCACAGAACTTTTTCTGGATTTTACTATTCAGCAGCTTTTCCCGGGTACTGAATACCTCATAAAACTAGCTGTAAGTTTTAAAGATGTGTAGTAGAGGTGTAAAATGGTGAAAATGATTCTTGTTTTGTTAACATCTTAAATACTTAATGGTTCATGTGTCCACGTTGTTTAACCTCTTCTTTCTGAAACTAAGGTGGATGAGCCATGCTGAACAACAGTAGGTGTTTTGTTTCAAAACAGGCCCTCAAAAAATGTGTATGTAATTTAAATACAGGTTTTCTTCAAGGATAAGTTGGATGATAACTAATAGAGAATTGACCAGAAATACATGAAAGACTTAAAAATTGTCTCCTGCCCCCAACTTATGAGAAAATGTTGAATGTATTTGAAAATGTTAGCCTTTCATATTTGGTACCATGATAATTTGCTTTTTCTTCTTAAAATCTGTATGTAGAAGGAAATAGCAGAGAGGAAAAGAGTTCAGTGTAAGGCAGCAGTTTGTTTATTGAAAACATTTTAAAAGACCTTGGTATTTTCATTGCATTTCTTTATAATTGGTTTTATTTTGTGATGAAATAAAATGGCTTCAGCTCACCAATAAACGTGAAAATATGTGCATAAAAGCATGGGATTGTCCCTTGTTTTAAGCACACTGTTCATTTTATAACAATACCTATATAAGGATATTTGCTTTGATAAATGCCATAGGAGAATATTCTGTTCTTGATTATGAATAAATTTACATTTATGTAGACTGGGTATGCATTCATTTTTTCTTAACATGCTCTTGAATGTTCTAAATATTATACCACAAAAAATAAACTACCTTCAGGTAATGATAAGGATTTGACTTGAACTTGAAAAAGCAAGGATATTCAGTCTAATTAAAGCTTAGATTCATGTTGAAATTAATTCACTTGTGCCTAGATATTTCAGCATAGTAAATTGTATAACGTATAAAATAGCACCATGTCCAAAACGAAGGCAGTACTTGAACAAGCATTTTATGCCTTTATAAGCAAGTGGGAGTACCAAAAGAATTTGTGCTGGCCTTCACTGTCCCACAGCTCTTCTCTGCTCCTGCCCAGCTCCTGTGCACGGGGAGGCACAAGGAGAGAGGAGCAGGGGAGAATTAACAGCTCGGATCTGGAGAGCAACTGGGACTGCTTCTTTTGGTGGCTCTGCCTTGGGATATGGTTAAAACAAAACAGTGTTGTGTGGACTTTGTTTTTACTTCATTAATATGTACAGCTTTTCTAGAAGTTACTGAATACATGTTTAGGAACCTTTGATCTTTATATTTTATTTCTCATTTCTTTGGGTTGGGTTTTTTTTTATATATATTTGCGTTGCATCAGTAGTAACCAGAAAGTAAGAAAAGATCATTGCTTCTGGTGATGAAGATAACCAGATTTACCTGGATAAAATGCAATGGTCTGTGATAGGCAGGTTAGAAGATCTAAATGTCCTTGCAGCTTTGAAAATGGCAGGTCTAAAAGTGCATGAAATGTCCAATAACTTTGAGGTGATATCTTTCTTAAAACATTTGAACCCATTTAGAACTTGTCAGACTAGTTTGAGAAGAATGTAGTATTAAGAGATTTACAAGTTATGAAGCTTAAACGTGGCCAAATGTTACACTTGATGAAAAAACAAAAACCCCAAAAAACAAATCAAACACACACACCTGGAAAGAAATTGAAATATTTAGTGTTTCACATATAATTTAATCTGATTTTTAATAAAACTTTAAAGTAAAAACAACAATAGCATACCTTCAACTCTGGAAACTTAATTAAATGCTTCCTGGTTTTTTTGCTTAGAATGAAATGTTTCTATCAGCTAGAAACTTTTTCTTTTCCTTGTTTCACAGGTAATAGTAATTTTGTTTTGTATCCATGCAAAAACTGGTTTTGGTTTATGTGGGAAATTGGAAGTTGAGTTATCAAAAGTTGCAGCTTTGAACACAGGAGTGAGGATCCTCATCAGCAGAACTTACAGCACCTCTGTTAAAGCTGCTGGCTTTAACTTTTGTATGACAAGGTTAATATAAGTACATGCAATAGAGTTAACAAAATATTTATCTTTGTATGCTGTTACCAATTTTCACAATTAATTACTGCCATTTAATAGGTAGCAAGTGTATTCATAAATGAGTGCAACAGCTTTTATAAGCCAATCTAATGCTTCTTTCCAAAAGTCAGCTGAGAAGTCTTAAAGTCATGTCTCCATGGATTAGTGCAAAGGAACTTGCTTTTGCTCTGTTCATGCTCTAAGCTGGATGGGTGTGAGCCAGGCCAATCTGAAAGCAGATGAAAAGCTGAAAGGCTGCATTTAGTAGCTGGGGTGGCACACCCATTTATATGACTTGAGTGCTTTTGTGATTTAACTGTTAAGCTAATATCTCTTCACGGCTGTGTTGTGTGGATAAGCTGGCTCAGGTGCTAGCTGGAGCATCACTGTACGGTGTCTTGTTATGTGGTTTGTATCTCTCCCTAGGCTCTCTAGACACTGGTATTTTTGCAAATTTTGCCTCAAATCTGTTTCTCAGTGAAGTTCAGAATGGCACAATGGGGCTCGATCTGGGTGTAGGATTTTATGGATTTGAGCATCTCTGGATGTGATTGACAGAGTCCCAGCAATGTCCAGTCCATTTGGATGCACGAATCTAAAATCCCACTATTTAAAATACAGATGAGCTTTCTTTTACTGATTTTCATTAGAAGAATCAGAAACTTCATACCCCAGCACATTTCAGAGATACAAAAATTGAGCTTCATGAAATTCAAGAAATAAATGAACGGGAAGGCTGCGGTTACCAAGCCCTTGAATGAAAAAGCCCTCCACTGCTGAGGAAGGCTCTGTGGAACTTGTTTAGCAAGGCAGTAGGAATGTACAAGGAAGAGGTCTTCCAGAGCTGGTCTTTTTGGTTTCTTCATGAAGCCAGTAGAAGCGAATTCATTTGAAGAATAGTCTGCCTTTGCTGGAAGGATGATGTTTTTAAATATTTTCCTTATCAAAATGCTAACAGTTGTCTGAGCATCCATCTAAGCTGACTTTTAAAAAATTTTATCATGTTTAAAGTAAATGCTATTTTTGGATGTTCCCAAAACTAAGGTTGCATTCTTTCATCTTTATTTGATAGCCCAGACTGAACACAGGGAGTCATTCTGTAGTTGTGTTGGGAGTGTAATTTCCAGTGAAATCAAAACAATCTTGGTGTATAAAACAGCCTCATTTACAAACAGTTCTTATTTTTACTCATGGGGCTAGTATACACTTTTGGAGCGGGGTAGGAAGTATGTTGACTGCTTTCTGATTTGAAACACACTGAGAATTGGGAAACTGAAGCTAAACCTTTCAAATAAAATATACTAGATTGAGAGAAACATTTTATTCCTGGAGATCTGGACAGCAAAGTTATTTTTCCTTTGTGTGCTGATGATCCAGAGTGGGCTGCTTGTGCACTTCAGCACATGGGCAACTCCTAAAAAACACAGGTGATCCCATAAGTTTTACTTAAGAGTATATCTGAATCTGAATCTTTGTTGAAGTCAGGTTTTGATTTATTTTATTGCTAAACAATAAAATTAAAAACAACCAATAAACTAAACCAAAAATCTTTAAATCCGGTACAGAGTTTATATATTCTTGTATATTTTTTTAACTTCTCTAAGAACTCCTGTCTCTTGTCATTGATCTTAGTGCAAGTAATTGGAAAACCAGCACACATAAGGACGATAGCTGTGTACTCTTACGTTTGTGCATGTAAAACTTTAAAAGCCTGTTATATGGGGTGATATGCACATTTTCTTCACATTGTGTTGTTTCATAATCAAGGAAAATGTAAAATCGTGTAATCAATCTTTTCTTCTCTGGTAACTGAAATACAAATGATTTGACTTTGTTATCCATAAACGTAATAATAATTGTTACATATTGATTTATAATAGAGTGGGTTTTCACTATTTTAATTGCATCTGCACACCACTCTGTGTGCTGTCATGAAGTGCAGGACTGTCTGAATGCATTTTTTTCTCAATGACTATTCATCAAGATATTTTTTTAAGTGCGTTGCAAGTTGGTCAGTATATTCTGTGTCTGGAACTTGTGAGAGCTTTTCAGTCAATTCCAGAAGAGTTTTGCACTGTAAATGATATATATTGTACTGTAATTTTCTTTAACTGCAGCTGCAAAAGCAGTGGAAATCTAATTGTGATTATGACTCACAGAAAAATGCAAAATGCTGCAAGTCAAACATTAATATAATGTTTTAGCTATATTATACCTAAAAACTAAGTATCATGAGTAACACATCTTGTTATTTAAGAGAAGAAGTAAACAAATCTATACTAAGAAAAGTATCTTCTATGAAAAGCACAGACTTACTGAGTTTAGATATGTAAAAATCATAAAACTTTACAAAAAATCATTGCTAAAATTATTGGTATTACATTGAAATATGTTTATTTGTTTTGATTCGTATTTTTAAGGCTTGCACTGGAGGTGGATGTTCAATAAGCAAAGCTAGCACAGCTATAACAGATGAGAGTACACCAGAAGGTGTTCCTGCTCCAAAAGCTCAGTCATATTCATCTGACTCCTTTAACATCTCATGGACTAAGCCTGAGTATCCGAATGGTAAGTGAACTCTTTTAGCCTCAAGTTAAAAAGATGATTAGTAAAGGTAAATTAATATTCTAAATGGCAGCTTATATGTGGTGCTTAATTTTTAATGATCGTTTTAGCACATAAAATACCTGAGATAGTATCATTGTCTGCAGCTAGGAGATTGTGGTTTTCAGCCTATTGTACGTACGGTTTCAGTGGCTCAAAAGTGCTCCCTTTTGATAGTTCTTGTGTACTGCATCTCATTGTTTAATGTTTTCCAGGACAACTGAGCTGAGGAATAGGCATTCTTGGAGAATATCAGTCTAGGATGTTCATTTCACTCTACAATAAAACGTTAATTTATTTTACGTTAATTGATATGTAAGAATCATTAGATTTGTGTTCTACGTACTCATCTTGAAGGTATACATTTCCATGGCTGTGGAAGTTAAATAATATACTTTCTTTTGTTTAGAAAAGTTTTCCATTGTGAAATATCCATGTGTAAAACTTTTGGACAAATTTTACATTTCTAATGGTATTGCACAGTATCATATGGCCTTGGAATTCACCTTTATTTTATTATCATGCATGTAACAGTTTAAATCACAGCAGAAGAAGCTATGCAGAAATCATTGAATTTAAAGCAACAGAAATGTTTTTCTTCATTGGCTTATCATATTGATAAATATCAATTATTTCTCACAGTGGTTTCACATGAATTTCATTTTTCCTCTGCAAGTTTTTCCCTGCTTTCAGTTGTGGTAGAGCACATCCTACTTGTACAACTTCACTACAAGGCACTTTAAACCATTCCCCAAAAACCGGTGATTGTAAAGCTACATGTATGTAATATTCTGTAAGGTCTTACATTACTTTTAGAGAGAAATAAGAGTATGTCATCTGCTGTTAAATAATGTATTTGATAATTTATGGTTCTTTGTATGGGAATCATATTGGAAGATTTTGCCTCCTAGCCCCTTAGAAACCCTCTAAACCTGTTTCTAAAATCCCGTCAGCATATGTGGCAAAGGCTTAGAGGAAGGCAAGGAGGAAGGAAAAAGGGGAGGGGTAAGGGATGGGAGGGGAAGAAGGGGGGGACGGAAGGCAGGAAGGCCACGTATGTGGCTTAGTGGCTACAGTCTGAATAATTTTCAAAGAAATGGGCATTTTTTGTGTGTAATAGTTCATGTCAGGACCTGATCCTGTTATCTTTGCATTGTGGGAAAAAATCCAAATACTTTAGAGAGTGGTTTAACTAATCAAATAAATATAAATAGATACATACATATATTTATATATGCATATCAACAGCACAGGATAAAGACGTATAGTTTGATAAATAAATTTCCACAAGCTTCCTTTAAAACAACTAAAAGTTGGGAATACATGACTAAATTTGCACATTGTATCTTGTTGTTAATATAGCATTTGCTATGTACGGCTTGGCTCTCCTTTCAAATACAATAAATAGGTTGTTAGGAAACAACTGAGGGTGTTAGTGCACCCTCAGTAAGTTTGCAGACGACACCAAGTTGGGCGGGAGTGTTGATCTGCTCGAGGGTAGGAAGGCTCTGCAGAGGGACCTGGACAGGCTGGATCGATGGGCCCAGGCCAACTGTATGAGATTCAACAAGGCCAAGTGCCAGATCCTGCACTTCGGCCACAACAACCCCATGCAGCGCTACAGGCTTGGGGAAGAGTGGCTGGAAAGCTGCCTGGCGGAAAAGGACCTGGGGGTGCTGGTCGACAGCTGGCTGAACATGA